CAGGATGGGCACAGGAAGGGGGACAGAAAGGGTGATGACTAGGCAAACCACAGGGGACTCTGAGGGCCACGAAACTGTGCTGCATGGAACGATAATGGTGACTCTTGTCAATTACAGCCTTGTCTGAATCTTCAGAAGACAGAGCACCAAGAGAGAACCCCAAAGTAAAATATGGGCTCAAAGTGAAAGTGTATCTGGGCTAGTTCTTCTGTGGTAACACGTGTAATGGGCTAGTAAAAATATCAGTGAGAAGAGAAACTGTGCAGCGGGTGGGAGAGACTGCAGTTCTCTGCGCCTTCTGTTTAGGCTTTGGGCAAACCTGAATGTACTCCAGTGTTGTTTATTCATTAAGAAAAGTTAGAATTCCTAATCCCATGGATCTTCTTCTGCTTAGGAGGCTGTGGCTATGACTTGGTGCCTGGGCCTGGTTATTGCTGTGGGTGACAGCTTTGGTGAGACTGTGGCCTGGAGAAGTGGCTGGAACTTGACTAGGCTGGGAAGTTGTAGATTCTTAGGGATTGAATGCCACTGACATATGGCCTTTACCCTATAAGCAATGGGGGCTACTGAGAAGTGTCTCAGGAGAGTCAGGAGACCAGTGCTTCCCCAGACTTGGGCTGTAGGATTAGTCTGGCTTCTTCTGGAGCTTCGCATCCCTGATGGTAGAACTAGAAGGCTGTCCTGAGTGGTTAGGGACTTTGTTTCCAACCTAGAGGATCTGAGGTTAGAGCTTGTCCCATCTTCCCAACCCCTCTCTCTCCCTGCCTCACCTTCTTTGTTTTTCTGTTCCACTGTGCCATGCTTTGGTTGGACGGCTTCCCTCAGCAGGTGCGGAAGACATCTATTGCACAAGGCTGTGCCTGGGGAGCAGGTCCGTTTGATTTAATTTGAGTTTCCCCTCTTTGAAATCTTCAAGGAGAAAAGCTAAGGCCTAGCCTGCTCCTAGCAGCCCTGTGGAGGGGACACAGAAATCAGGTGATGAGTAACCAACTCCCCCGGGGTTTCTGAGCAGGGAACAGGCTGCAGAGGGCAATAGAAGGGTGGTCTCTGATTGCTAGACACCTTGACTTCCCGGTAGCCAGACTAGAAGGTTCCCTGTGTGGTGTGCTCTGGAGGCTCCAGCTGGCTGTGTGCACCGGGGGAGGTGTCTCTGCCCCTTCCATACCGTCTCCTGTCATTACAGTATGATTTATGAGCCTTTCCTCTAAACATGAGAACACTGGCAAGCCGACTCTGCCCAGCAGCCGTTCTAATAAGGAGCATCTTGTTATGCAGAGGATGCTGGGGAGGAAGATGCGGGACTTAGAAGTGGGCTGCCCTTTGTTTTGTTTTAACATGAAAAACACCGAGCTCTTAGTGGATTCCAGTCTATTGTGGTGTCCAAAGCTGTCACCTTCTGGGAGAAGTGAGTTTGACTCCTAGCTTGGCTTTGCTTTTAGGATCATAGCCTGATGGTGTTCTCTGAGCCACCACCCCCTCACTTACAGGGGGTGAAGTTGGGGTTACCAGCAGTTATCCTCCTTCTAGGGATGCCCTGTGGCTTAAATGAGAGGAACACCTAGAGAACATGAGCCCTTGAAACGATAGCATCGTTGAGATGATTCTAACAGTGAAGGGTCTGGAAGTTGGTAGAGGAATATGCAAAAGAGTTTGTCGTGGCTATGGGTTGATACAGCATCTGAGTCTCATGTGAGCGACAGCATTTCATCCATTTACACGCATGGGCCTATGCACATGCCTGTGCAGCTGATGACAGTTCAGAGCGCATAATGTGACCTTCACCAAGCCTCTGAGCTTAGTTTCCATAAAGCTTCTGTTCATCTTCTGTAGTAACTGATGGTGAGCAAGAGCCACAGTCTATGCGTGTGTGTGTCAAACCTGATAGTGAGTGAGAGCCAAACCCAGTGTATATGTTGTGTGCACATGTGTACATGTGCATGTATATGTGGGGCATGTGTATATATGGGTACATGTGGTACATATATGTGTGTGCATGTGGTATATGTGTGTGTGCATGTATTTATGTATGTGTGCCATGTGTATGCATGTGGGGTGTGTGTGTGTGTGTGTGTGTGTGTATGTGCATGCATGGCACGAGTAACCATGTGACTTTTCCCTAAAAGTGTCTGGGATGTGAGGTTGGTGAATAGCGTGTGGTTATCTAACTGCTATGTGGCATGCAGCCTATGTGGCATGCACTATGGTTCTGTGTATGAATTTTGTGTTTATCCGTGTGTAGATGAGCATGTGTGTTTGTATGTGTGCCTGTATGTCACATGAGACACTCACATTCGGGGTCTTTGCGGGCTGCACAGAGGAGGGTCATGAGCGCCAATAGCAGTTTGCTGGACAGGTGCTCCTGTCTTGATGGACCTATTTTGTGCTGGGAGAATCCATATTCAGAGCTTGGATTTCATTGGTAGGGACCTCAGATAGGGCTTGCAAGAATGGTAACAACCATCATCCAAAACCAGTCCTGGCAGTCGGTGACCCCAGGAATCCCATGGTGCACTGGGGATGGTGGTGGAGCCAACAGGTCTGCCAGGCCTTGCTGGAAGGAGAGCCTCCTGCCAAGGCTGCAGAGCAGCAGTGCGGGCCTCCTGCTGTCTACCCTCAGCATGACCCCAAAAGTCTCTGCTGTTCCACAGTTTTAGTTGACATATAAAATGTTTCTGTCTAAATGTAAGTAGTTAACAGAGGTTATATTTCTGCCATGCTTTAAATATTAACATTTTAGAATAACATTACACCATTCTCTTCGAAGTAGAGTAAACTAAAGCTCAGTAAGATTGCAATTTTAAGAAGTTGTCTTTTTGTGAACTCTTACATAATCTAGAAGAATGCACAGACGGGGTGCAGCTCTGTTCATCGGACTCATGCACTGCCCAGATCAAGGTGTGTGGGCATGCTCAGACCCCAGAAGACAACCTTGTGTTCCTCTGGGTCAGCATCCCTCTAAAGGTGACGACTTCTCTCTCTACATTGTAAACCTCCTTTCCTGATCTCATTTTTCCTGGCTGATTGAATAAACACATGCTATGCTGTATGCAGCCCATTCTCTCTCACCATGTAGCATTCCCCTGAGCAATACCTCACTTGGGAACACCGCTTTCATTCTTACTGGACTTTTGGAGTTACTTCTAATGCTTCATTATTGGACATAAGCACTGACTTTTGGGGTATTTATCAGAGAGTGGAATTGCCAGGTCAGAGAACCGAAAACACTTTATATCATTTTATCTCTCTGCATCCATAATTCCCTTCAATTTCCTTCACAGAATTTTATCTTAATATTGTTTTATACTTAAAACTTATAAATATCACATTTCTTTTTAACTTACACACAAATTGAACTGATATTAAGACTTTTGAAGTTATATTTTATTTACTTACTATTTATTCATTTGAGTGTAGAAGGTTTGTGGCACTCTGAATCTAGAAAGATTCTCTCTTTTTGTTTCTCTGTATAACCTTGGCTGTCCTAGAACTCTCTTTGTAGACCGGGCTGGCCTTGAGCTCACAGAGATTTGTCTGCCTCTGCCTTCCAAATGCTGGGATTAAAGGCATTAGCCACCAGGCCTAGCCTGAGGAAGGGTTTCTAATACCAATATTTGAAATTGTTCCTTTTGAGACACATTTCTGCCATTTTGGGTACTTCCATCATAGTTGGACTCTGAATGAATGTGGCCTTAGTTTTTCTTCAGGAAATAGACAGCAGGACCGTTGTGAAGAGTGAGGTGGGAAAGGTGTGGCATTGTCCGGCAGAACTGGGAAGCGTAGCAGGGGGACATGAGGCTCTCATGTAGACTTCCCCATACTTCAGTCTGTAGACCCCTTGAGAAGTCTTGTTATATATACCCCAGGTGGGTCTGTGCCAGTTTGCAGACCCCTCCTGATGATGATGATAATGTTGTTGGTGTTGGTGGGGGTGGGAAGGGGACACTGTACCATTCAAGGATGAGTTTGAGTGAATTGCAAAATGATGATAATGTTGTTGGTGTTGGTGGGAGTGTGGAAGGGGAATCCTGAACACTCAAGTCCATGCTAAAGAGCTAGATATAACCTTAGGCACAGGGTAGCCTGGGGTATTTTTGAGAAGGTTGTGAGTGAAGTGCAAGATGGGTGTCTTGCAGAGCTGGATCTGTTGAGGACCCAGGAAGGGGTGGCTGCACCAGAATGGTGGCAGTGACAGTATTAGGGCTTGACAAAATGATGGGGGCTATGACTTGTAGGATATCAGGTCACATTAAGGTTGTTAAGTATTGTAAGGATGCCGGTGAGGTGTTTGTTTGTTTGTTTGTTTGTTTTAGCTTGACTCCCAGATTTTGAATGGTCCCCTGGTTGCCCAGACTCAGCTGGACCAGTCAATACTTCCCCAAATGTGGAGCAAGCTCTTAGTAGTACTTAAGATTTTTACACATGGAGCTTAGGGTAATGGAAAGCAGAACAGACATGACCTGGAGGAACACTGGAACTCCAGATGCATTCTGATGCCCTCTGGATCCTGCCTGTACGAGATGAGAAAAACCCAAGCACCTCTCCCTGAGCCACTTCCTTTTTGTTGACAAAGAACAAGCCTCTTGGGCAAGGCCTCTGGCCCTTCAACAAACCCTAGTAAATAGGATTTAAAAAGCTGTTGTATTCATAGAACTTATTTATGATATCCTATGTTGTAAGTCTCCCTTCCCCCTTTTGTGGAGCTTACTATATAGCTTTTTAGTCTAAACAAACTCATTACACTGAGAAAAGTTAGTCAGTCCTCCAGTCATGTGGAGTAACAATGTAGCCAGTGGCCCGAGCAGTAGAGCAGTAGTCAGAAATAGTGGCAGCCACTTGGGGTGACTCGAATCTGGGAAACAGTAGGTTAGACTGTATAGCAGAAAGGCCATGCCAAATCTCAGCGTGGCAAAACCGGGGCTCTGACTGGGCTCTGGGGGGCGGGGTGTGGGTCATTGCTGTCCACTGCCATTGCCTGATGGTCAGATCCTTGCCTCCCACAGAGATCCGCACACAGCTGGTGGAGCAGTTCAAATGCCTGGAGCAGCAGTCAGAGTCGCGGCTGCAGCTGTTGCAAGACTTGCAGGAGTTCTTCCGCAGGAAAGCTGAGATCGAGCTGGAGTATTCCCGCAGCCTGGAGAAGCTGGCGGAGCGCTTCTCCTCTAAGATTCGCAGCTCCCGGGAGCACCAGTTCAAGTGAGAAGTTGGCTGCGGGTCCTGGGATGGGAGGCGGGTCCTGGGATGGGAGGCAGGTCTTGGGATGGAAGGCGGCCCAGGGCAGGAGGGTTGTTGGCAGAAGCAATTGACGAAGGAGGCCAAACCTGGAGAAGGAGGCCAGGACTGGGCCTTCACCTGCAAGGTCCTGCAGAGTCCTGCAAAGGTTCTTCAGTCTCCTCTTGCCTCCAGGAGCTAGTTGTCCTCATGTTCCAAATAAAGGCTTCCACGCAGAAGGGCGCTGTAGACAGGAGGTGAATGACTTGGAGCTGCATTCATGTATGCCCAGCTGAGACTCTGTACCTCCTTGCAGCACATCCTGGCTTTATCTAGTTGGGTTTTACTTGGGTGCCAGCTTGCCCACTATGCCCTTAGAATGTCTTCTCATGGACCAGGTCCACAGACCATCCCCCTTTCTTGCTGTTCCGAAGGACCTCAGTACTTCAACACTTTCCTACCTTATTATTTAAAACACAGAGCCCCTCCTACCCTAACTGCTCACATCGTGAGCTCCAGTCCCAAAGCTCTCTGTCTGACCTGGCAGGTTTGAAGACCTCTAGTTACACTCTGAGTTGTTGCTGAAGCTGTCCACAGGGGGCGTGCGCAGCCGATCTCATCACTTGCCCACACTTCCTCTTGATTGGAAAGCGTCTCCCCTCACATCCTAAGTGTGAGCATGAGGGAGAGGGAAGAGGGCAGGCCTCGAGGACACAGGGATCTCTTATTCCCTCACCTAGTCAGTAATGAGCTCTACTAGCCCCTCAAGGGTTCATTAACTCAGCCACCAGATGGATGGGAGCCCCAGCTGGCAGTCGGGCCAAGTGGGCTGCTTGTCACACTATGAAAGTCTAATTAGGGGGTCACCCAGGCCAGTGCAGCTGGGGTAGACCCTCTACATGATGCTAATGTGATGAACCAGCCCTGATGGCTTTTGAAAGTTGAGTTTTCTGGCCAGGATAACACACCTTTGACCCCAGGGTGGTGCTTCTATTCATGGGGTCTGTGCCGTGCACTGGTCCTTCAGCTTGGATGTCCCGAGAAGCCAGGCCATCCCAGACTCTTCACTTAAGGGTGCCCAAGCTGCCAGGTTGCTTTTCAAGGCTGGAGGAGAGTCCTGGGGTTTGTTTTACTTTTGTGCTATGGACCACTTTCCCCTAAGGCACAAGCTTTTCCCAGGCTGCCTGGGCTTTGGGGATGTTTACAGCTGTGGAAGGCACTTAAGTTAGGGCCAGACTTAGCTGGGGTAGAGTTCTATGTGGCACTCGATTTATAGAAAGGCCTAGGGGCTGTCCTGGTGGCCTAACAACTAAGGGCTTGCTGGCAAGCCTGACAACTTGACTTTGATTCCCAGAGCCGATATGGTAGAAGGAGAGAACTAACCCCTCACAAGCTGTCCTCTGACCTTCACAGGTCCTGATGCTGGCTGTCAGGTCTCCCTTGGGGATGGTTGCACATTCGTAGAGCAGGGATGGTTCTAGATTGCTGCCCTGCACTGACCTGAGACGGGAAGGATGGATAATGGGAATGAGGCAAAGCTAGTGTGCTGGGCTGAGGTCTTGGTCTATCCCTTGTGGATATGCATTGGGTTTCAAAGACTGAAATGACAGAGAGGATGGCTGGTGAGTGAGGTCTCTAGTACCTGGGAAGGCTTGACCCATGGTTGGTGCCACTGGTGACTGAATAAATGTCCAGTGGTAGTTAGAGTTGCCATAGAAGGGAGTGTGTCTTTTGACTTCCTCAGATTGATGAAGTCATTTGGTACTGCATTGCTGTGAAGACAATGTGAACTTGACTTCTATCTGGAGAATGGGGACCACCAAAGGGAGAGTTTATAAGGCGTCACCACATAGAAGCTTGTCCAACTGAAGGAGCTGAAGGGGTTTGCAACTCCATAGAAAGAGAAACAGTATCAACTAACTGGACACACCAGAGCTCCCAGAGACTAATCCACCAACCAAAGCGTACACTTGGAGGGACCCATGGCTCCAGCTGCATATGAAGCAGAGGTGGCTTTGTCAGGCATCAATGGGAGGAGAGGCCCTTGGTCCTATGAAGGCTCGATGCCCCAGTGTAAACGAATGTCAGGGTGGGTAGGCAGGAGTGGGTGGGTGGGGGAGCACCCTCATAGAAGCAGGGGGAGGGGAAGTGGGATGGGGGGTTTCTGGAGGGGAAACCGAGAAAAAGAATAACATTTGAAATGTAAATAAAGAAAATATACAATAAAAAAGTCAATTAACAAAACTAAAAAAGAAAAAAGTATTCCGAGCACTTCGATGTGACAAAAGGAAGAAGGAGAAGGAGAAGAAGAGGAAGAAGAAGAGGAAGAGGAGGGAGAAGGAGGAGGAGGAGGAGAAAGAAGAAGAAGAAGAAGAAGAAGAAGAAGAAGAAGAAGAAGAAGAAGAGGAGGAGGAGGCAGCTTATCCAAAATATAGAGTCTGAGGCCTCGCCCAGCCTCTGCATCACTAGCTCTGGGGCCTCAGCAAGCCTTTCTGGGATTCTGGTGACCAACCACTTTGATGGTTTTCTAGATGACAAACAATTCTCAGTTTTCTCATAGGCTGTGCTAACTTTCCTTGTCACCAGCATACAAGTCACAATGTGGTCCTTTCTGGAGCAGGCCTGGAGGAGCCTAGCTTCCTCTTCCGATGGCCTGGAACCAGGAGTATTCCCTGAGCAGGAAGATGCTATGGAGAGCAGCAGTTAGGGGCCTGACTCTGTTCTCAGGTAGATGGGTGGTCTGGTCCAAACAAGTTGCATAGGTCTGGAGAGACAGAGAATTTCTGTGACCAATTCTGTATTTGGGAATCACTGACTATTCTGGAACTCACTATGTAAACTATGCTGGCCTTGAACTCAGAGATTCACACACTTCTGACTCTTGAGGACTGGTAGTAAAGGCGTATGCCACCAAGCTCAGTGTGCCAGCACAGTGTATGGAAGACTGAGTGAGAGCTTTGTGCTAAGTAAGCCTGTTGTCTTCCATCTGAAAGCTAGCTGGCAATAGACTTTCCCCTCCCCAAGATAAGTAGTTATACTTAACAAACTAGCTCTCCCCAGGATTCCTGATGCAAAGCTCTGCTGTGCAAAGTTTAATGACATTCTTATCAAGTAGTGGTCTGTATGTAGGGCCCCTCTTATTCCTATTTCTTTGGGTTTTGGTAGTTCTTGCCTTTCAGGGAGAATATGCCTCATGACAATCCCCTGTCCATGGTTAGGTGATGCTGTGGACCACAGAGAAAAGCAGCAGGGAATTCTGTTCAAGCACATTAGAAATATTTGGGGGAAAAGCCAGAGTTCGGGAAGAGCTGGACAGTGCTTAGCTAGATACTGCATAGTATTCTATGGAGATCCTCAGTGCCAGAACAGTTGGGAGTGTCTTCCAGCTTCACCAAGCAGGGGAGAGAGAGAAAGAGAGAGAGAGAGAGAGAGAGAGAGAGAGAGAGAGAGAGAGAGAGAGAGAGAGAGAAGCCCAGAGAATAACTGGCTTCATTTCCAAGAAAGTGCTTTTTATTGGAGAAAAAGTGCCATGGTTTTCACAGCTTCAGTGTGTCTCTAGAACGATAGTAAAATTGAGATTTAGCCTTGCGGGTTATTGCTGGACAGAGAAGCATTCTTGCAATGTGTAATTTGAGACTGGTGTGTAGAGGATCCAGGATGAAAGAGGTCTGGGCAGAAGGGGCGAGAAAGCCCTCAGGTTGGGTTTGTGTCTCTATTGATCGTTATGATGGCTCAGTGGCCAGAATCACAGCAATAAGCTCTTCCAGGTTCCCTCACGCCTACCTTACCTTGTGCTGAGTGCTCTCCCAGGTGAATATCGGCCATCTTATGCCACCTACATGATAGATGTTTTGACATGCAGGACAGATAATTCTTTATTTTCCTAGTTGAAACAAATAATGTTTAGGGAAGTTAACTTGCCTAGGACACAGCTGTAGTTGCAGGTGGTTCAGGCAGGATTCGAATCCTGGTTTATCAGACTCCAAATGCAAAAGTGCCCCTGGCTGGGCTGCCACACGGCAGATCCATTCCCTAAGCTCTCTGCCTGGGTTAGTGCTTGCTGAGAGTCCTCTATCTAAGCAGACATGTGTGGGCATCAGGGGTCTGGGAAAGGCTCTTGTGAAAAGCCTTGTTCTGGCTGGGCTAGTTGTGGGTCTCATGGAGCTAAGGTCAGATTGGCAAGGAACCATACAGTTTGTAGATCTGGCCTGTCATCTTCATCCCGCTAGGTACTTGAAAGCAATGGGGGAATTTCTTATCTCTCTGTCTCTATGAATATTTCTGCCTCTGTGTCTCGATGTCTCTTCTGTGTCATAACACAATGTAGAATGGATGGAAGGCTCACTGGCTCTCCCTGAGCCATAACTTAAATTGTCTTCAGCCTTGTGAAGAAAGCCTCCTTGATGTTCCTGCACTAGTAGCACCTTTCTAATCTTTCAGCAAACCTCAGGTTCAGCACCAGCCCAAGAATACATAATGCTGTTTGCTTCCCTTATAATTACCTTTCTCGGTTACCTTGTATTTATGACAAGTACTTACAGAAAGAAAACCATGACTAGGAAAAGTTCTTTATAAAATACCTTCAGAAAAGGACAGCAGACTGGGGACATGACTCTGTGGATAAGAAATTCTCTGTTTCAGCATGAAGACCTCAGCTTAAATTCACAAAACACACATAAAGACCAGGTGTGGTTTCACGTGTGTATAACAGAGCTACAGAGAGGGTGGAGGCAGGAGGATCACCGTTGGCTGCTTGCCAACCTTGCTCTAGGTTCAGTGAGAGACCTTGCCTCAGGGGAATAGAGTGTAGAGAGAAAGAGTAGGTGTTACACACACACACACACACACACACACACACACAATGAAAGGCAGATACTGAGCCTGGGTTTTGGGATGCCATAATCCTCATGTCAGCACCAACTCACACTGGGGTCCATTTCCTGTTCCTTATAGAAAATCATCATCTTCCCTCACCTTTCCCTCCC